TGAAGGAGAGGGGATGAGACGAACCAGACAGGGTGCGATGTAGCAATGATGAAAAATACAACTTTCCTCTAGTTCCTAAATGTTCCCTCCACTCCCCATCATGATCCAAATTCTACCTTGCAAGTCTGGCTAGACCAGAGGATGTTTACTGGTACAGATAGGAACTGGAAACAAGGGGAATCCAGGGCAGATGATTCCTTCAGGACCAGTGGTGTGAGTGGCCATACTGGGGGGTAGAGGGAGAATGGGTTGGAAAGATTACAAGGATCTATATGTGACCTCCCTGGGGGACGGACAACAGAAAAGTGGGTGAAGGGAGACGTCGGACAGGGCAAGATATGGCAAAATAATAATTTATAAATTATCAAGGGCTCATGAGGGAGTGGGGAGCAGGGAGGGAGGGGAAAAAATGAGGACCTGATGCTGGGAGCTTAAGAATGATGAGGGTAATGAATGTACAAATGTGCTTTACACAATTGATGTATGTATACATTGTGATGAGTCGTATGAGCCCCTAATGAAACGATTAAAAAAAACTGTCATGAAGAAAATAGTGCTTAGGGGAGATCAAGGCAATACCCTACACACAATTCTCTCGTTAACCCTTGAACTACTGAAGACGAGTATACACGTGGCCCAGTGCCTTTCCTGGGGTTTGTGAATGTGTGTCAACACGCTGACTCAGTTCCAGCGGCGTTTGGAAGCGCTATGTCTGCCACTCTCAGTGTCACGTCATGTAAACAGATCCCAATAGCGAAATGGTTAAAAAGAGCACTCTGGGTTGTGCTGTTTTGAATCATACCTAGCGGCAGCGCTAGTTAACATTTATAGAGGGAAGCAATTGTGATTGTGCATCACATTTGTCAGCTGTCCAACATTTTGTGTTTTTTATTAGTTACTTTGTTATATTTTCTGGTCACAACATAAGAGGTAAGTGAAAACTAGTAGGAGGAAAGCACTGCAAGTTTTGGGTAAAAAAGAATAATTTTAGTTTTATAAGTACATTAAATAAAATAAATGTTTAACTAAAAGCAATTAAATAGTGTTTTAATTATCCTATCCATATTCCTGAATCCTCATTTCAAAATATAAATTTAACAGAATTTGTAAATGTGGTGTGGCCCACGTGAATCTTGCCTGTTGCACAAAATGACCCGTGTTTTAATTGCGTTTGACACCCTGCTCTAGACAATTGGACATCCCTTCACAGAAGGGTCACATAGAAGGGATGACTCAGCCAGGATGCAGTTTAGCACTGAGGAAACACACAACATTCCCATGCTTCCTCCCCCCACTATTATGACTCCAGTTCGACCTCACAAATCCTGCTAGACCAGAGTATGTACATTGGTACAAGTAAGAACTTTCGACACACGGAAGCCAGGACAGATAAACCCCTCAGGAATAGTAATGGGAATAGTGACAACATGAGACTAGGGGGTTGGGGGAGGGGAGAGAAAGGGGGACTCGATAGCAGTGATGGATATATACTGCCTTTTCCCCTAGAACAACAGAAATGTGGGTGAAGGGATACAGTGGAGGGTGTAAGATATTAAAAAATAATATATAATTTATCAAGGGCTCACGAGGGTGGGAGGGGGAGAGGAGGAAGGAAAACACAAGAGCTGATAATAAGGGGTCAAGTCGAAAGATAATGCTTTGAAAATGATGATGGCAACATATGTACAAATTTGCTTGATATAATTGATTTATGGATTGTTAAAATGTGTTAAAATTATTTAAATTAAAAAAATTTTTTAAGTTACTGTCTGGCTTCCTGGGAAAGGCTCAAGAGGGCTGCTGCCAGCCTAGGCTGGGTGTCTGGACAACAGTGACATACATGTGTGGTTGTAGGATAGGTGAGCGCAATGGCAGGGGGTCTTCTTTGGGGAATAGCAGGAGCTTGTGGGGCTGGGTGCCCTTGACTGGAACAAACTTTTTTCTGGGCATTTTCTGGATTGTCCCATGTAAGAGTTACCCTCCCACCCCCTAAAGTCATTGATCATTGGAATGAGGAGGCCTTTGTTCAGGGTGTATGATTTGGGGATTCTGGGTAACTTTAAGAAACACCCCAAAGACCTGATCCAGGGTCCCAAATGGCTTCGAGGTTGGAAGGGGAATGAATTACAGCATTGTATCAGCAAGAAGAAAATGGTTGGGAATCAAATGTGCACTGATGACCTACACAAGCTTTACAAACAAATCCATTATCTTTACAAACATTTTAATCAGCACGGAAAATACGGGTTGAAAACAGGACTGTGGAAGTGTAGAGCTATCACCTAGAATAAGGGAATAGTACATTTCCTTATGAAGAAAGGATGCTGTATGTTTTCCATAATAAAAGGGGTTTTGTTTGGAATCTTACATATTTAAAAAAAAAGAGAGTTATAGTCTCAGCAACTCACAGGGGCATTCTACCCTGCTGTATAGGGTCTCTGATTAAGAGTCAGAATCAAGTCGATGCCAGGGAACTTCTGTTTTTGCTTACCTACATAGTAACCTCCTACCCACCCTCCACTGCCATGGCCTGGAGCTGCCTGCTGCATCTTCCTCCCATGGCCCAGCTGGTTTCAATCCTGCACTGAGCAACTACCAGAAACCCTTGCATTATCTTCCTAAATAAAAAAGACTCCAAAAATCCAAACCCACCGCCATCGAGTCCATTCAGATTTGTAGGGACCCTATAGAGTTCTGAGACTTTTAATATAAATCTTTACAGGTGCAGACCACTGCATCATCCTACCACAGAGCAGCTGGTGGGTTTGAACCGCCAACCTCGGAGTTGTGAAATGCCCCTGTACTGCCACGGCTTCATTGCACCCTCCTTATGGAATTTCTGTGATGGCAGCGGGTGGGGGTGGGGTAGGGGGAAGAAAGGGTCCCTTCTCCTGTTGTGGCCTCTGGCGCCCTCAACTGACCAAGTTTAGCATAGCACCCACTACCAAAAGAAAAACACTTCAACATGTTTCGTTCCCCAGGGGCTCAGCGTAGGATGGTAACCTAGCAGGCTGGGCATCCAGCCTGCAAGAACCTGGGCAGTAGCCCTATGAGGGGAGGAGGTGTGGTGGGCAGTGGAGAGGGGATGTGAACGAGGCTGGCGGCCTGGGCAGGGCCAAGGGTCCTGAAACCCTGAGGGCAAGCCAGATGGAGCCCAGCCAAAGGCTGGGCCTGTGCTTAGTGTGTTGGAATGAAGGCAGTTCAGGGGTCCTTTAGGGAAACTGTAGGCCCTTCGCAGTGGGGGGGGGCACAGCTCCCAGGAGACTAGGGGTTATTACTGGGCTGATGGACTATCCTGTCCTCTCCCAAGCTCAGAACAGATATGCAAGTCATTTAACCAGACCCTTACCTGCTGTGCATTTCTGGGCTGCCAGGATGAGCTCACTGTGGCAATGAGGTATGGGGCCTGGGCTACAGGGGTGTGAAGGCAACATTTATTACAAAGGTCAACACACCATGAAAGGGGCTGACTGAGGAAGAAACCAGCCAACAACACTTTAGAAATCCTCTGAGGTTTCATTCCTTGACATGAAGCAGAGGGTCTGTTTACTCAGTTATTTCTGTTCTCTTTACACTCCTGGGGAGTGTAAGGAGTCAACTGACTTGTTCTGAAGTGCCTCAGATCTGGAGAAGTGGAGGGCATGGTGGTCATATTTCCTTCTCTGCCCTGCAGACAAAGGGCTTCTCCCCTGTGTCCTCTGGTGTTTGATGAGGTGTGACTTCTGACTAAATCCTCACCCACACTCCCTGCAGACAAAGGGCTTCTCCCCTGAGTGTGTCCTCTGGTGTAGGATGAGGGTTGACGTCTGACTAAAGCCTCACCCACA